TAAGAAATTAGTAAAAAATAATTTTTGCACAAACATAACCATTTTTATATTTGAGTTCTTTAAAAAACGTCGACAACTGCATTATAAAACAACAAAATGTACCTACGAATTCATGGCAACATAATATTATATATAATACATAATATAATGGTATTTTACTGTTAAGTAGACTTTAAAGCATTCTTAATCAACGCTTTTAATAATGCTAAATGCTGTTTAAATTAAGATGACTTATTTGTTTGACGATTATTACTGAATTAAAATATTTACACTTTTCACGTTAATCACTACTAAAATGTTTATTTATTGTGTAACCTCAACTCGAGTGCTATAACGAACGGCAGCTTTTCAGCGGAGAGATAGGTCGTGTATACAAAATATATTTACTAAATTTAAATAAAAATTGGGCGCCAGTGTCTATTAAATGCTAGTTGTTAAAATCCAATTAAGCCAGACACAAACTTATTGGTAAATAAGGATATTAAAAGTCAAGTTTAAAAATATAAATTATAATTAACTTCAATCAGAGTTGTTAACGTGATGGTGATCGTATAGAATTATATATTATAATGTTTAATGGTTTAAACATTTAAGGTACCCTTATATGGCCATACATGGTTTACAAAAACCAAAGTCTAAGAGACTAAATTACATAAAAAATAATCATCAATGATAAAAACTATGTTTATTACAACGGCAAATTAAAAGTTGAAGACTACGTGGAATGCTTAATTCAAAATTACCCAAAAATGTAATGGAGTGTAGTGAACGCTCTTTAACATTAATATAACTATAGGTAGATGGTAGGCTTTCGATGTTGAAATCTCCTAGCATGTCAGATTGTCATCATGGTTTTTCATGAACATAACAACAGTCTTGTTGGATTCCACAAACATGGTTAACCCAACCAAAATACTCGAGCAAAAACTGCATAAATCCCATAAAAAAACTGATTAGCTCCACAGAAAAACTATACTCCATCTTAAAAACCCTAAAAAGACATACGAACCCGCTTTAGCACCCTACAAAATCCGTTTACATTAGCTTACCCTTATTTTAAGGAGTTTTAAAACTAAAGACCATTCAAGGACTAGGTCAACAAAAAGTACGTTGGAAAATCACGAACAACTAAAATGGAGACCGCGTGGTTATTAACTCACCTAGAGCTTTCGTACGACGCAACTAATGCTTTATCCGGCCCTGTGCCATTAAACCAGGAGAATTACTACACATCCTTAAAATTCTATCCAAATTCTAAGCCAAAGCTTACTCCCAATCAAACGGATTCAGCGATCAAACGGAAAAAAAAGCGTAAACCTTGTTAAGTGCTTAGAAGATTATTTAAACAAAAAAAACACAATGTTGCCAATGTTGAGAAAACTAAAAACAAATGAGGAGTGTTCTGGTTTGCATACTATCAAAACAAGGTAATAAACAAAAGAATAAAACTAATTAAATTCTTTTGGAAAGAGGCAACTAAACAAATATCCCTATTAAAAATATACTTAACAATTAGTAAAACTAAAAATGAACCACTTAACAGTTCACATCTATATTGTTCTAGATGTACAAAAACTAATAAAATAAAATACATGGTTAACTGTCAAAATGACGGTTACAATTGTATCCAATAGGTACAATTTATATTTACTGAGACTTTATGCAATTTATTTTTTCATTCAGATTAACACTGTTTATTGGAAAACCGGTGAAAACTCAACCCAAGATTTTCGAAATACACCCAACAAACACAACAAATCGAGCCACGGTTTTTTTTCGATATTTTTTAACATTTTCCGGCTATATTCTCAAAAACACTCGTTTGTAACATAAGCGTTTGACAGCTGTTACTTTTGTTACGATGATAAGAGCCGATACTAGCGATACTTCTTTAGCGTATATGTAAGATTAAATTCTCCGTAACATAACCTTTCGTTTCATTTCATTAAAAAAAATATTTGCAAGCCTATTTTATGAAAAATACAGGTTTGAAATAAAAATCAATTGTCTAATCACACGCTCCAGACAAACCCCTTAATTATTTAGAATCCCAAGTAACGACTTGCGATTTACCATTGTAATTGCCAAATCAGTAATTGGCAAAAACCCGAGCATTTTTCCCAATTAAGTCGATCGAGTTATCAAAACAAATGAGCGCATTCACACCGTCGCCCTTTTTTGTTCTGCACTTTTACTTCATCAAGATCTACGGGCAATTTAACGGTGCCGAGTTTATTGAGCAGAGCTAGATTTATACACATTTTAAAAAACAACATATTGTCGAGAACGGCAGACGGTAAATTGAATGATCCTAAATGTGTTTCTCTACGCTACACTTTGCAGACGTATTACAATGAAATAGTGTAAGTGATCGTATGTGCTCAATCTTGTTTCATACATTACAAAATGAAGTCTAAACTGGAGTTATATGAGATTTAGTAGGGTTAATTAAATTATTATTTACCTAAAGTGAATAGTTATTAATTTTGTTAAAATTTGAAAAATGCACGTCAATCAAAAAAATATATTTTTGTATACGTTCGTGGTCCATTATAAGTTTCTGGGGAACAAAAAAAGATATCGATATAAAATTTTAAAAGCTTTTATAATCCATCTTAGTACATTTTTATAAAATGTTTTAAACAAAATTCCACTTCCGGTTTAACCGGAAGTGACATCAACTTTGGTATTTCAAATGGAACACCCCATATATTTTTACATTTTTAAATTCTACATAAAATTACTATACCATGTCCTATACCTAAAGTAAATAGTTTTTGAGCTATTAATTTTTTCGTTAAAATTTGACAAATGCGCGTCAATCAAAAATAGGCCATAACTTTTTTGTTATTAGGTTTGCGGATATGGGGCTAGAATTTGAAACTTAAAACATTGTTTAAAAGACTCCATATTAATTCTTTAATATTTCTCAACAAATTACTTGAGGAAAACCAGGCCAATTAGGCTAATTTGAAACGTTAATAACTTTTTTATTTTAAATGTATGTGAATGTTTTTACATAACCAAATAGAAAATTAAAAATCCTTTCGATTAATTTAACTATTCCCTATACCTAAAGTTAATAATTTCAGAGATATTTAACAATTTCTAAAATTTTAAATATTATTTTGTATCAAGAAAAATTTGACGGGTGAGTTGAAGGTATCTATGGTTACCACGTAATCTGTCATTGTTTAACATTTAATGGCGTTAATTTTTCTGGTTGTTATAAACAATTTGTTGACTAAGTGTTTTGTAAACAAAATTACTGATAAAAAAAACAGGTAGTAACTTTAACAATGCTAAACATTTTTAAAATTTAAAAGTAATACAAACAGTATTTGCTAATTTAAAAAAAAGTCAACAAAGCTGGAATATATCAACTAGATGAAGCCCAAGCTCATTGGAGATAATAAAAAATAAAATGCAAACCTGGTTTATTATTTATAAAATATTTTAATAACTAAAATAATGTGTGACTGTAAAAATTGAATAAATCAACAATATTTTAATTAAACAATTTTTATTACTAATTACCTATTTAATTTTTAACTTTTATTTTCTTAACTCTTATTTCCACATTAGACGTTGCTCTTTTTAACTATTCTGGGTCTAATTCTTAAAAAGCAGCCTGAACAACACGGTTTCTTAGTTATTCTTTTGAATTTTAGATTACGTGGTAATCATAGATACAATAGGTACAAAATAATATTTAAAATATTTAAAATTGTTAAATATCTCTGAAATTATTAACTTTAGGTTTAGGAATACTTATATCAATCGAAAGGTTTTTTAATTTTATATTTGATTAAGTAAAAATATACAGGGTGTTACATTTAAAATAAAAAAGATATTAACATTTCAAGTTAGCCTAATTTGTCATGGTTTTTCTCAAGTAATTTGTTGAAAAATATTAAAAATTAATGTTTTAAACAATGTTTTAAGATTCAAAAAATTCTACCCCCATATCCGCAAACCTAATAACAAAAAAGTTATAGGCTATTTTTGATTGACGCGCATTTGTCAAATTTTAACAAAAAAAATTAATAACCCGAAAACTATTCATCTTAGGTATAGGACTTCCTTTTAAACCAGAAGTGGAATTTTGTTTAAAATATTTTAGAAAAATAGATTTTAATGAATTAAACGCTTTTAAAATTTCAAATCGATATCTTTTTCGGTTCCCCAGAAACTTATAATGGACCACGAACGTGAAATACCCTGTATAGTAAAAAAAATTTACACATTTTTTTACAAGAACTTTGATATTTAAAGGAATGTTGCCAGATGAAAAATAGTAAAGCTCTCTAGGGAATTTGATATGCAACTAATTATACATAAAAATAATTAATTTAAATATTAGTTACTAAAACATCAGTAAAGGTATATTCTGATTTCAATAATAGATTTTTTATAATTTATATAAATTAACATACTCCTATAAAACATAAATTGTATTTTACAGTTCCTTTTTAAACATAACTAAAACTTCTCATGAATATTTGGCAAAAGAATGTGTAATCATAAATACGACTTCACTAAGCATAATAAAAAGAATTTAAATTTAAAGCTGACCCAAGCACATATGATTTACATAATGTCGGGTTGTAAGTTTGCGATTCGAATTATTAAAGTAGCGATTTTATGCTGCAGTAAAGAATATTTTTCCGCGCGTGTTTATAAACAAATAAAAATCAATTAAATTGTTAATTTTGTATAATCAAATGTTTATACAGTAATTCTGAATTATTTGTTATGCTGTATTTTTTTTTTATTTTAACCAATTTAATTATTGGTTTATTGTAGTTTATTTATAATGTTTTGAAATATAATAGGTACTTAATTTGATATATTATAAAGTTTATTATGTGTAATATAATGAGGAAAAAATTTCGTTAACTCAATTTTCAATAACATTTTAATGAAGTAATTTACAACCTTCCGAAAAATTTTGTAAACCTTGTCATTTCACATACATTAAAAAAATGTAATGCACTCACCATTCATATTAAGTTCTGTAGCAGCCTTACTGTCCCTTGAGTTCATAGCAGTATTAAACTCTGTGGTAGTAGTACCATATGATGCATTAGAACCAGAACTTGTAGATCTTCTGCCATTTATTTGACCAACTGTGGTGCATTCACCATCTGATGGGTGAAGGTAGTGGTCTCCATATCTATCTCTGTATGAAGTCCTGTGTTGGTGAATGGAGTTCAGGATTATGTTTGATGAGGTTCTCGATAGAGCTTTACGTTGTCGTATGGCTTCTTTATAGATTCGGCAGTACATGGTAACCATTACAATACCAGGTATCCAGAAGGATATCGACGACGATATCAGAGCGTAATATTTGTTGACGACGAAGATGCATACGTTGGGGTTTTTTTCGCGGTAAATGCGATGCTCTGCCGTTGTGTACCAACCCAAAAATATCGGTGTGAATGATATTAAGGCCGGCCACATCCATACGTTGGCCAGCATGAATGATACGGTTCTGTGCGTCATAGTTATGGGGTACTCCAGCGGTCGTACTATGGCGTAGTACCTGTCGACTGAAATGCAACATAGATGCAGAATCGATGCTGTGGAAAAATAGACGTCCAGAGAGTTCCAAACGTCACACATAAAATATCCGAATAACCACTTCCCGTTCGTCAACTCTACACTAGCGTTAAACGTCATCGCGCACAGGGCTACCAACATATCAGCCATCGCCAAACTAACTACGTAATAATTCGTTATAACCCTCAACTTCCTGTGCCTGTGCACCGATATAATAACCAGGGCATTCCCCAAAACGGCGCTAACTATTATAGTCCCAAAAATGAACCCTTTCAGTATGACAATCAGCAGGTCCGCCCAATCGGGGTGCGGATTTTCAATATTTGTAACGTTGGTATGATTTGCGGTTGTTGCATTTTGGAAAACGATCGGTATATTTGTTGACGTCGCCGTCAAAGTTCCTGAAAATGAAGCCATTGCGTTTACTATCATTGTCGATAAAAATGGTGGTTTTTGCCTTTTGGGTTCTTTTTATTTTTTTAAGTTGATGTAAAGCTTGTTTTCTATGAAAAAGTTCGGTCGTGATTTGTGGAGGAGCTCGTTCATTTTAGTTGTTGTTTTATCTGAAACAAAAAAAAACAATTAAAATCTTGGTTTGTTTAGTATTTAGTAAATTGTATAGAAGATTTTTTGAGTTACCCTAATATACATATATGTGTATGGATAGCGTTTATCGAAAAATAACCAAGCCAAAACTTTTTCTGGAGTAAACAAAATTATTTGCAAAATGACTCGTTTTTAATGCTACTCAAAAAATTAATAATGATTTGGGAACCTTCTCAATACTTTTGAGAAAAGTTCCAAATGATGATCAACCAATTGAGCATTATTAAATATGAGTTATTTTAAAAACAATTTTACTAAGCCCAGAAAAACTTTTTGGCGACTGGTTCCTTTTAGATAAGCGTTATCCATATATATTTTTATTCAGTGTGTCTACGAATGCACTTAACTATACTTGTAAACATATGTATTTATTTTCAATTTTTCGAAGAAAAGTCACTACTTATCATAATTTGTTTTGCTTGTTATATAAATACCATTCACGATAAAAAACTTATATTTTGTTATACAGGGTGCGCAAAAAAATATAATTGTAGATTTTACAAAATTAAAAATTAGAAAATATATTTTTTTGAAGGTCTAATATGAAGAGCTTGTAAGGAGAAACCAAAAAGCCAAATAAAGTTTTTTCATGTGAGTTGTTGTTACTAAGATATTTGTTATTAAAAATAAAATCAATTCAGGTCCTAACTTGAGTGGTCCTATTATTTTGTATAAATTGACTGCTATCTCATTTTGTGATTATGAATTAAGGTTGTTGCTTTCAACTAACATGTCTATAATGTCTATTTAAAATTTTTTAAATTTTAAAGATCAGTATTTTTGCTCACCCTGTACAACTAAATGGATGTTTTACAATGCAAATCGTATTTATATAAGAAGCAAAAGAAATTATGAAAAATGACTTTTTCTTGAAAAATTAAAAATAAATATTTTTACAAGTAGGTAAAATTAAGTCCATCCGTGGACACACTGTATATATATATATATATATATATATATATATGCATATGGGTCATTCCATGACAAACGATACTAAGGGTGAAAAACAAAATATGTTTTTTTTCGCATTAAATCTGATAAATTTTGAAAGAAAACATTCCAAATTATAACATGCGACAAAAAAAACTAAAAAAAGCGTAATTTTTAAGTTAATTAGTCTTCAAAATCTGTACTGAAATAGGAAAAAAAACTGTCAATCTGTCAACCGTTTTGTTACGTTGTGATTTAAGAATATTTATCGTAGTATTGGTGGATTGCGCCACAGTCCCGAAAAAAATGATAATTATCAAGTTATAAGTGTTTTTTTCTTACTTTGCCACTGTAACACCCGAAACTAAAAATCAAGTAATTGTTTTATTATTATACCTTACAGATTGAGTAGGGTAATATTATTTAGTAAAAGTAACGTTATGGTGGTAATGATTTAAAATACTAACTAATATCTGAGCATAAGACTAATTCGATATTTGTTTTTCTTGATTAAAAACGTTTCGGGTGTTACAACTTTTTTTACTATTTTTACAGTACTGTTTTTTACTATTTTTACAGTACTGTCATTTACAGTCATTAAAAAAAGGTTAAAGTCCTAGACCAAACCAAATAGACGAATATCTCAATAGGGGGGGGTATTTTAAAATAAACTTTCTCCATGTCCTACAGATGTCGCTGTGTCTAATGACGTCACGTCCTTGGCATATGGACTTGTTTAATCAGTGGCCTAGGATCAGTGGGTTAAGTTGTGTCAAAATAAACGACTTTTTGAAACGACACCTGAAAAAGTCTTCAAAAACTGCAGAGTGTGTTCAAAGCATTTTGCTGAGAAAGACTTTATAGCTAATAGAAGGCTTAATCGTCAGGCTTACCCAACAAAATTATTACCAGGTATTTTTTAAGTTTTATTAATTTTAGTTTTAAAAAATGTAGAGGTTTGTTCTTTTATTGTATGTACTTTTATTACTAATATTTTTTAATAGGTATATTTTATATATATTTTTGTAATACATAATAAAGAAATATTTCTAATTCAAATTACTTTAATTATACCCTTAACTATTTTTATTTTAATTTGTATATTTAAAATTTTTTATATATAGACCCAATGTGGCCCAATTCTGTAAAAAAAGGTATAATTTGTTTGATTATATTATTTATTGTATTATAACTATAAAAATGATAAAATGCAAATTGTCATTTTATGATATTTATATATTGTTGATTGTGTAAAATATTTAGTTATTTAGTTAAGGTTATTTCGAAATCTACGTTTTTTTGACAGAATTTGGTAACGCTGACAATCTCAAATAATAAAATAAATTTTTAAAATTTAAATATACGCGGTCGCTTTTGGCAACGCTGCATTTTAGTTCCTCCATAACCGTATAAGGGCGCTTCATTGCATCAAAATTATACCGTCAGATGTTCATCTATTTGGTTTGGTCTAGGGTTAAAGTAGAACTTTAGTTTCGATTATATTCGAAATGCTTACATTGATCAAAAAACTAAAGAAACCTTTTTTGTATATCAGTTAATTTCCAACAAAAATATCTACTACTCATTTCAAAATCCTAACTATTCTGGTAGGTATACAATTTTGACCAAAAAAGCTGTTTACATTTTTACAAAATAAATCTTTTAAATGGCTGGGTTTACGAAAAAAACATAGGATGTAGTGCACTAAACTCCCTATTTAAATGTTAAAATGTAAAAACGTGTGTTTCTTTGTCCCATTTCTGTCTTGTTGTAAGACAGTTAAAAATCCGTACATATTAAATACTTTTAAAAATGGTGAATGCGCCGGGATTAATTATAACTTAATTTTCGAGTATTCCACCTTTTTAATGGAATTAAAAAAATATTTCCTATCGGGTATTCATGTCATAATAGTAATACACTTTTTAAATTTTAGGACCACCAGACCGAACCAAACCTATGGCCTTGATGAATCAGGACACGCGGGCCATTTTAACAATTTTTAACATAATAATACGTATTACAATTACAACAGGCAATAATATTAAGCAAAAATAAATACAAGTAACTAACGATTATATAATTAGTTCAACCTTATAATAAATAATTAGATGTCTAGTTAATAATAATAAAATTTAAGGATTAATATAAAAAGCAAAATACTTTGGCTCCTTTTTAAAAATGTGTTTCAATCAAAATAATATTGCGACTAATTTAGTCTTAATTATATTTTTTCGTTGATCCTCCATATTAATTGACAATTACAAGTGTCGATTGCAGTCAAAGCGTCGTAACTTTTTTAAGGCAATTTGTCGCGAGAAAGAAAAAAGTGTTTACTATGCAGACAAAAAAATTTAATTAAAGCCTTCTTTTGATTAAAAACATAAACGCTTTTTGTCTTTTCTTTACATCAACATAAAGTCCAAATATAGCTTTATTAAATATGTAGGTAGCTTTTGTTATATTTTCCCAATTTAAATTAATTGTTTTTCCTAACTTTGAATATTAAAATTAACCTAAATAAACAAACAAAAATATTGTTTTGATGTGTTGATTGTACCTAAAGCGGAACGCAGAAAGCTTCGTTTTCTGATGTGTTGATTGACAGAACTGGAATATAAATTAAATTACATGAACGCTTTCATGAAAATACTTTCCTGGAAAACACAGTGATTTCCCACGTTCAAAATCAGAGCCAGTCGCTGAAGGCACATCAAACGTTATGGTACAAATATTTAAATTTTGTTTGTTTTATTTTTTTGTAAATTGTATGGGTATAAATAAAACTTATTTTAAATAAAGTTTATTTATATATACAAAACATTCATTATTTTACCCATCCTAAAAATGACATTAGCTTTTTTATACCTTAAGGGTTATTTTCAAATTTCTTATACATTTGTTTTAATATTGAGTTTAATGCCATTTGAAACTTTACTAAGCGAAATCAATTGGTTTAAGTGTTTTAGCAACTATATATTAGCAAAATTGTAAAATTTTAAATTTAACCCTATAAAAAAATTAAACTTTCCCCAACAGTAAAGAAAAGCTATCCCATTTGCAATAATATTCACTACTTAATGCTATTTAAACATCTTAGAGTAAATTAACATCCTCCTTTTTTATATAGTTGAGAATATATTACAAATATTACAGAAAAAGCTTATTTGTAGTTATATTTCAAAATACAAGTGGTTAAAATAACCCCTAAAGTTTGTCCCTTAATTTTGCTGCCCCCTTGCGGCAATGTATTTAGTAACGGAATTTAGTGGAAAATGCTGTTTATAACTATTTTGAAGCCACAACACTTTTTTGTATTTTTTATACATGGAAGCGGGGCAAAACTGTGCATTCTCCTGTGTCACAGTAATAAAAAGTAGTAAAGGTACCAGTTGGGCTTTGTTTGATTCTCAAATGAAAGTATCCTAGTAATGGTTTTAAGGGCAAAAATACAATTTTTATCTTTAAAACAGTAGAGAGGTTATGTTCTTAAAACATACATTTCTTCTACTGGGTCACACGTCTACTGGATCACATATTGTGTGACCCAGGGAAAAGTTATGTGACCCATGGGACAATTCCAAAGAAATAAATTATAATATATTTTTGAAATAATAATAAACTTATATAAAATTATAAAAACATTTTTTTTTCGACCTTTTCTAATTCTGATAGTACCTAGCCAATTTAAAATAATGTCCTCCATCTTTTTAATAGTAATTTTCTCAGTCAATGTATTTTGCCTCAAAGAATCTGGAAAAAATGTTTTGGTAGTTCAACGAAACAATATTAATATTGACTTTTTATTATTGTTTTATTAATAATACTAATAACTAAAACTTTTTAATAATTTATTGCTCGTTTAATTGGACAAGCTGGGCCCAGATAAAAAAATTGAGAGAAAACGTTTTTAATACGCATTAAAATAAAAAAATTTAAACCTAATTTTTTATGGGCATTTTTTAAATACAGAAAATATATTTAAAAAACTTATGTTTGTAACAAAGTTGAGAAATAGAACATAGTT